TATTTTTTGTGCGCCGTTGCGTGGCCTAATTAAGTAAAAACATTTACCCAAGCCACATGTCCTCAAACCACCTTAACTTTGCCTTCTGCAACGCCCTCTAAATGCTCCTCCGCTCCTGCTCTCGGCTGATTTTCATTTAATATCGTGTAAATACAAATTAAAAAGCGCTCACTTTCTGCCTCCGCGTTTTTCTTTTTTGTTTGGGCAAAACTTTTAAGTGACTCTTTGCGGCGCGTGTTGAATTTTTAAAGACTTTGCCTTGGCGGTTTAGGCTTTGGGAGCTAATGGCTTGGAGAGTGTAAAGCTGTAAATTAATTTTATGTTTATGTTATTTACTTGCTTAGGAAATCTTTGTAAATGAGATATAAAACTTGAAGTTACAAGTTGCTTAAGGTATTTAAAGAGATATTAAAGATTTGTTATAACGAAAAGACTTATTTGAAGTGCTAAATGTGTGTAGCAGGCGGTCACACTAGCATGTGTAACAAACAGTTAGTTGTAAACACAATGTATTCCTCTCCCTTACTCTTCCATAAAGATAATGCTTACGAACACTCTGTGTGTCCTGTTCGCACGATCAGCAAATGTCACCAATACATGTAGCCATTAAGCTACGGTAGAATAAGATAAAGGAAGACCACAGAAGAGAACAGCACGTTCATTAAGATGCCTGCCTACATTTGTAAGAAATAAGTTTTAGTACTTACTAATTTATTACTAAATTAATGATTATTACTTTAAGGTTTTTTAGCTACTAAACTAAGAACGCCTCCCAATAAAAGTAAAATACTAACTCAGCCATAAAATTCTTACCCCCACCGATCAAATGTTGTTTGGCTGTCGAATAAAGTTGGATCATGCATCCGACTAAGTGACAGCTGCAAATCGCTACGAATTGGACATGAAACAAACTAATCATGTATGCCAGAGAAAAAAGAGCTTATAAATGGGAAAGCAAGCAATCAATAAATGCATGTGCAGGGAAAACTGCAAAAGTTGGAAATTTAACGGTAAAACAAGGACAAAGAACTGGCAGTAGTCAAGGTAAAGGTAAAGGCTAAAACCAATAATAAAGGGACAGGAGAGGACACTCGAACGAAAAGGGATAACTAGAGGGAATGGCCAGGTAAGTTGACTTACTCCCAATTGGTATTGGCATATTGGCCAAAGTTTTCAAACGCCAAAGTGGATTGGCTCTTGATTAATTAAAACCTCTTTGATGCTCCTCTTTCTGCGTGTGTGAGCGAGTGTGCACCTGAATATCCACTAGTATATATCCTCCTTTATCCCCTTTATATCAACCCCACTTCATGCCCTCCAATACTCATCCATTTTGCTCCTTTTTAGCTATGTGTGGGTGGGTCTGCTATTGACAAAAGTCTTAGCTGCAGTCAAGGACTGCTGATTTGAGTGACAATTGTGGTTAAGATAGTAATGCTGAAACTATGTATTCTATATCTATATTATATTACTGTTGATATCAAGGACTGCTGATTTGAGTGACAATTGTGGTTAAGATAGTAATGATGAAACTATGTATTCTATATCTATATTATATTACTTTATTTAGGTAACAATATTAATCAATTTTATAGTCTTGAATGTTAATAAATTAAAAGAGAAACTAAAGCGTAAACTGAATAATTTTAAAGGAATTACTATGCATACTCACTATCCCATCTTCTTATATTGTGAAATACTACCAGAAACGCCTACATTCTTGACCTCAGCTGTACACCTATAAGGCTGACGAACCCCCACAAAGTGTCCTCTAAGTCCTATGCAAAATGTGTGCCAATTTGTGTGTTTGTACTTGGAGTCCTTTGCTAATGGTTTGTCTGCTGTTTCTCCGCCCTTAGAACTTGCACAGCAAAGCGTAAATCAATTGCCTGCCAAAAGGAGCAAAGGATTGGGCCAAAAGATCGCTTTCAGCGCAGAAAAACAACTAAAGCTAATTGCTAAAACGTTATCCCACCAACTCGAGTTTTCATTTACTAAATGGGAAAATCAAGAAACTAACCTTTAACTAAATTCAAGCTTATAATGATCTTAAGGCCAAGAAAACCCGACCAAAATAAAGCAATAAAAATAAGGCCTACTTACTAACATATGCTATGAGATGGCGTGACTAAATCTTGCATTAGAATCTATATCAACACGAACATTAATGGAATCCAAAGTGGGCTTACAGCGAGCTTTGAACATGGATTGACCAACATGGTTGTAACGGTGGACGAGCAGAAACATAAACCAAACTCTGTTTATATCTTTATTTAAATCGACTTAACAAGCAAGAAAAGCAGAAATAAGTTTTGATAATAAGAAACAAATACTCTTTACTTGCTTTTTAGTTAATTTATCAAAAAAGAAACTACTTTTCTTACTAACTAATAGTAATAAGATTGAAATATTATTTTAAAGAATAATCTTAGATTTGACGCCTATTTACTCCCTTTTTACCTCTATTTAGCATTAAAATCGAAATAAAACAAAATCACTGGCGCATACAAAGTTCCTTTGGCCAACCCACTTAAAGTTCTAGGGAGACACTTTAAATGACCAACTCATTTCAGCCACTATCAACTCAAGACATTCCCCAACCAAAACAAAAGCCTCCACGCACAGTCCGCGCCATCATTAACATGAGCAAAGTCGACGACTAGATATAAAGACCTGTTGTCTGCTCGAAAAGCACTGAAAACGAATAAGTTCTAATTGTAAATATTTAATTTACATATTTATTTAAAACTCTTGGCTTAGAGTTTAAGTTAAAAGAAGGTGAAGGAGAATAGCTTTAGCTACATAGGCTTTAGGCCAGCTTAAAGTGCTCTTATAAGTTAAATATGTTTAACCCTTACTATTTTTATCTTACTAATATATTTAATTTAAATTTAGTTATTAAGTAATATATATTTTTATCTCAGTGTACTCTCACAGAATTGTGGAAATTGCAAACCGGTTAACAGGCTGGCAAAACTGGCCGCTAGGACTGGCAGATATCGAGGCCTAATGGCGCCAACGACGATTACTGAAAACATAGACATTAAATGCAGAGGAAGTGACATTAATTGCATTGATTTAGCAGGCCCTACAGACCGGCTAACTGATAAAAGTTGGCCCAGACTGGGTCTCCATTATTGGGATGCCTCCAAAGGACAATCGACAAACAATTTCCGGGCCATGGGATGTAGGGAAAGGAAGGCTGAGCTGGCTGGAAAATGAGCATCATTACGCACTCATTGCGTATGCACTTCCAATTATTTGAAATTGTTGCTAATGAGAAATTAATTTGCAAAATGCTAATCAAGCGGTGGCAGTTGGTTGTCGGTCGCTGGTCAGATCTCCATTCCAATTCCAACAAATTGCAAATGAAGCATGGCCAACGGATCGAAGTGATTCAATTAAGACGGCCAGCCAGTCGCACGAGTTTCGGAATTTTAGCATCGTTTCGATTCTGGCTCTAATGCTAATGCCAATTTAATTGTTTCAACTCGGACCGGGTAATTTAAAAATCGAATTGTAATTAAAGTGAATCAGAAAAAACCTTGACTGAGTTTTGCGCTTAAACCATAGAAATGGGCAATAAATACATAGCTAATAGAGTAATAAATAGTAATATGGTTAAAAGGCTTTAAAAATGTATATTTTACATTTTCAATTTTACCTAAATATAAACATAAAATATAATCAGCACCGATTAGAGATAAGCATCTTGTCTTTGATAAAGTCCCACGATAGAATTAAAGATGTTTAACATTTTTTTAAATGATCATTTTGAATTACTACTTTTAAAGTTTAGTTAATTTGGAATTTGGAATTTTCCTTTTTCGGTTCTTATTTTTGAAATATTGGCATATTATATGAATTTTTTTTTTAATATCAGGACGTAACAAATCTAACATTTTTTAACCATCCATAATCATTGCTTTTGAACATAAGAATACCCCTAACAGACTAGCATAAAGGAAGTTGCAGCATGTTGATACAAACATTATTACAATATACATAAATCTCTCAATAAATACGTCAGCGAATCAGACAATTGGGGCGTGTGGCACATTAATCAAAACTTCAGGTTAATGAAAACTCACCTGCTGCACTGAGCCACCACCCACTTTCTTCCGCCTTCTTTTCTTCTCCCCCTTTCACTTGTGTTGCATTCGGAATTTCAATTTTTCACTCCACGCGGCGGCCAATGCAACGGTACTCCTCACTCCCAGCAAGCGTGTGTGTAATTACATTGGCTGATTGATAAATTTTGATTGATTAATGGCGTTTAAAGTGCGTGCGTGCCGGCAATCAGCTGTCATTTAGCCGGTAAAATACGGAGGTGCGATTCTGTAAGATAAACATTGGCGGCGAATACAAAGCGCGAATTTTGTAAAGCAAACACTTTTCGCGCCTTTTCTTTTGGTGAGACAAACTATGAGTGACAGCTGGACAAAAGCATAATGTCACAGGACGTGCTCTTTTAAATGTGCCCAGCTGAGGTGCTTTTTAGCTGACAAAAGTTGTACGCATAAAATTGTTTAAGATAATGAAGATAATAACAAAATTATAAGTAAATCAATAATTAATTTATATACCAACTACAATAAATAAATTTGTTTTATCTTAATTTGTTGATAGCCTCATGAGGACAAGCTTGTAGCCTTTCATGAATGTTAAGGAACGGAAGGAGACCAACGGTAATTAAGACAAATCATTTCTATGCTGAGAAAAAGTTTTATTTTTCATAATTTTGTACCATCAAATTCCACATCCTCCACAATACATTTGAAATTAACGTTATTTACAACATGTGGACAAATGGTGCTTGCTATACAGCGTATACCGACAAAACACCAATTTATTTGACATTACATGAATTTTTGACATCATGGTTGGATATCCAAGGCTTGTACTACGAATTTATACCAAAAAGCTCTTCAATGTACTGAAAATCCACTGATTTCAAACATAAACAAAGTCTTTGAGCACCTGCCAATATTGGTATTATCGCAGTTTATGTATACGGTAACACTAAGAATTTTGGCCAAAAAATGCGCATGAAAACAAGTAAATCTTTTTGAGAACTTTAAAAACAAACGAAACAATATAACAAAAATGTCTGTGCTGCGATTCCTGGTGACCCGCCAGGCGTTGGCTGCCTTATCAAGGCCAAGGACTTTCAACATAGTCCCTAATCCAGCGCAAATCGCCTTGGCCTCCACTTTGTACAACCATAATACCAATAAAATTGCTCAGGATCTGACCAAATCGAGTGCCAATTTAAATTTGATGCAAACTAGGGGGCATAAGCGGTTTGGCCATCAAGAGGAAAAGACTCCCAATGTCACAAAATACTTCCACATGTTTATACTGAGTTTGTTCCTCATTTCGGTAATGGACTGGGGCAAGTGAGTAAAATAACCAACAAAGTAAAATTCGCCACTAATATAATTTTTTGGAATCTATTTATAGAGTAAAGCGTATGCTTTTGCCAAAAGTAGACGCCGATGCTGGACAACGTCCCTCTTCAGCGGCCGGCGTTAATGGCGGGGATAAATCATCGGAATCCGAATCGGAGGATAGCGAGGAGGAGGATGGAGGCTCTCAATCTGCACCTCCACGAGGGCAAGAAGATCCGGGAGAAAGTTGGTTTCCGCGAGAGGAAGGTATAAAGCTGATTGATGACGCTATCTAACTCTGCTTTTATAACTTTATAAAATTGTTATATTTTTCAAGTTTTTTTTCCGGTTTTCACAGTCTTAATATTAGCCAGAAATCTTTAAAGAAGAAGAAGAAATCTTTTTAAAGATGTTGAACATTTTTAAAGTCCCTTAACATATATACGAAACGATTTAGTTATACGTTTCAGGTTCAAGTTCCTAGTTTTTATTATAAAAAGGTTTTCTAAACAAAATTTAAATTCTTCAAAATGTTGGAAAGCCAAAGTAATCAACAATAATTTAAAGCTGTGAAAACTTGAGTAAAACTATTTAAACTTATTTTAATATAAATTTTAAATTTGTTATTTTACGTTGGACAAAAATCTTTGTTTCTTTTACTTTTATGTTTGTGCCGTCTTGTTTTTGACCCGCCATCAAACACGAAAAACACACAACATACAACTTCAAAGATCATTGAGTATGAGAACCGTATAAGGCAGTTTTCCACTCCGGACAAGATTTTCCGGTACTTTGCCACCGTGCGATTACAAGATGCCACTCAGACGATTGTCTGCATGACTCCCGAGGATTTCCTACGCTCCATATATCCGGGAATCAAACAGCCTGATGGTAATTCACTCATCCAGATGCCCATGTCAAGAATTATATTTAGTTTGTGGAGAAATTTGAGTTAGCTTTACTTTTTTATAAATTTCTTATCCTCAGTTTAGTGAAGTTAATTAGTTTTTCATATTCATTGCCTTTTTCGTAAGCTAAAGTCATGTCCTTTGCCTTAGATAATTGAGTACGAGAACCGTATCCGGCAGTTCTCCACGCCGGACAAAGTGTTCCGCTACTTTGCCACCATCCAGGTGCCCGTGGCCGATGATCGTCACGAAGTCTACATGACTCCGACAGATTTTTTAACCAGTATGACGCCTGGTATGAAGCAACCAGATGGTATGTGCCAGAAAAAAGTATAGGGAGATCTAGAGAGTTGTTAGTTGTCACTAACTTAGAATATGTTTTGAGAATTATAGGCCTTCACTAATGGTTATCTATTTCAGGCTTGGGTCTGGACCAGTATCGTCGCTATGATCCTAAGGTAAGACCTTTATTCGTCTTGTTGAAAACTTCTATGTAATCTTTAAAAAATATATTGATTTTTCAGTCTGTTGGCGAGCAGCTTAACCTCCACCTGGAGAAGAACAGCATTTTTTACAAGCTTGGCTCCTTTGGACTGATCACATTTTCCGATTACATTTTCCTGCTCACAGTGCTCTCAAGTAAGTGCAAAGTCTTACACATGGATGATAACTAATTACCACTTTTCTTTTGCAGTATCCCGCCGGCACTTTGAGATTGCCTTCCGCATGTTTGATTTGAATGGAGACGGTGATGTGGACTGCGAGGAATTCGAAATGGTGGCCACTTTGGTGAGACAGCAAACCAGCATGGGAACCCGGCATCGTGATCATGCCAATACAGGAAACACCTTCAAGGTAATAAGACTCAGTTTGCCTAGATAAATATAAGAAGAGAGTACCTCGAGCCGTACTAAAAACGATTCCTTTTTGTATATTTGTATATTCTCTGTCTTTTGGCTTTGTCCCTAATATATTGAACGCGTGTCTAAACTGTGTACATAACAAATCTTAACTTCCCTCTGTTTTTGACGTACTTACAGTCCTTGAAGGTACTTTGTGTGAAAATGCTTATTGACTTATTTTGCCTTTTCAAATATTTTTTGAAACATCTAAACACAATCTCGCACCTAACTATAACTAAATCACATTTTATGTAGGAAATTCACTGACGCACCTGCTGCCAAGCACACAAGTTAAATCTTTTGATGTTTAAAATACGTCAATCAATATGAAATATTAATTGCCTATTTTGTAAACTTTTCCCTAGGGAGTGAATTCGGCTTTAATTACATATTTCTTTGGGCCTAATATGGATGAAAAGCTGACCATTGAAAAGTTTCTGGACTTCCAAGAGCAACTGCAAAAGGAGATTTTGTCCCTCGAATTTGAAAGGAAGGAACCCAATGATGAGGGAAATATAACAGAAGCTGATTTCGCCGAACTCCTTCTGGCCTACGCAGGCTATCCTTTGAAGAAGAAGCAAAAGAAACTGAAGAGGGTAAAGAGAAGGTTTAGGGATCACGGCAAAGGTATCTCCAAACAGGACTATCTGGACTTCTTTCACTTTCTGAACAACATTAACGACGTGGATACTGCCCTGACTTTCTATCACATTGCCGGTGCCTCGATTGATCAGCAAACACTGCAGCACGTGGCCAAAACGGTAGCCATGGTCAACCTTTCAGATCATGTGGTGGATGTGGTCTTTACCATCTTTGACGAGAACAGTAAGTTTTTGATGTCAAATACTTAATATTATATTTCAAAATATTTTCTTTTTAGATGACAACCAGCTCAGCAACAAGGAGTTTATCTCGGTGATGAAGAATCGCGTGCAGCGTGGACTGGAGAAGCCCAAAGACACTGGCTTTCTGAAGATGATGCGATCTGTGTTCAAGTGCGCCAAAGAAACCAAGCCCGTGCTGTTGGACATCTAAGGAACGTTACTCTGTGGATTCTCCCGCTCCAAGCGCCCCAATCTTAGTCATTTTTTCCTACGCTTACGCTTCTACTATTTATTTTCTGTAGTTAACGTTTACATAAATCGATTTTAACTCAATCTCTTTAAATGTTTGACACCCAAGCAGGTTTTTCGAAAACAATAACTTGCTTTTGTATATTTCACCGACTTTTGTGCACTTAATACGTTTATTTTTTAATAAAAACATATATCATAATATTTATAAATAAATAAAATTGATATGGCCCTGTTTATTAGGAGCTTATCGTTCAGTTCTGTAAGTTTTTATAAAATTAAAAGTCGTATAATAACGCAGATTATTAAAGAAGATTGAAGAAATCAAATGCTTCGTTTACATAATTATTGTTAAAGCAGTTAAATAATTAATTTAAAAATGGTTGTGAATGGTTTAAAAGGTTTTTAAACGTGAAAATCACTTCCTTTAGTGACTACTTTTTAAGGAAGGTTTTTATGATGCTTAAAACTATATTTAGAATATGTTCAAAATAATATAAAATTCACACTTTCTTCATCGTCGGAATTCATAATTCTCACATAATTAAATCAATATACTGTTCCCTTATCTAAGCCACATCTACGTCATGCTCGTCGTCCGCCACATCGTCCACACTCATGCCGTACAATTCCAAGTCGTGCTTTTTGAGATGTGCCGTATAAGCATCTAACTCTGTAAATCTCTGCTGGCACTCGCAGCATTCCAGGCATTCTTCTACAGAACTCTCGCCATCATCGTCACTTTCGTAAGTGGACGACTTGTGACTACTAAGCAGGTCTAAATGAATGGATTTGTGATCAGTGTACTCCAGATAGTCTCTGAATTTGGAGGGACACCTAAGGCACTTATACCATCGGTCCCTGACATGAGTGACCATGTGTTTTTTGAGGGTGGAGCATTCCCTAAAGGGTTTCCTGCATTTGGAGCAACTGAAAGGCTTTTCTCCAGTGTGGATCATATAGTGGCGTTTAAGGTTATGACGAGTTCCGAAAGGGCGATGACATAAAGGACAGGGATAAGATCTGCGACTGCGGTTAATGGGCTTCCCAGATACATTTCCATCGTTGCTTAAGGACGATGAGGAGTTGGCACTGCTGCAACTGCGAGGAAGAGGCGGTCGACTTGGCTGGGTTTCTTGGGGAACCTTTTCTGGTGGAGATTGAATGGGTGGTATTAAGGTAACCAGCAGAGTGGATGGTCCAAATGAGTTGTGCCTGTTCATCCTCTTCAATTTCATCCTCTTCCTCCATTTCTTCCTCATCTTCTTCCATCTGCTCTTCTCGTTCCTCGACAATTTTATCACTTAATTCCTCCGGCTGAGGCTTTACCATGAGATTCTTGCTCTCACATTCCGCACACCTCGTAGAATCCTGCTCTAGAGGTTGTCCCAAGTGACAGATCATGCAGATGAATCGAGGATCATGCGAGTGCCTTCGACGATGCTTCTTAAGATCACTAAACTCCCGAAAACGACGTTCGCATAGATCACACGGGAATGGTCGTTCACCTAGAATAAACGAAATGATAATAGATTATTTGACATATTTAATCAGGTTATGGTATATTTATTACCTGTATGTATCATCATATGACGTCTTAGATTGTAATTGGATTGCACTTTCTTCCCGCAGTTCGGACATTCGTACAGGTGACGTCCTCTTCTGTTGACATACGGACGTCTTTTTGCTGATCTCCTCGAGTTAGAGAACTTCTTCCTGATTACATGTTCTTGCTGCTGTTCCTCTTCTAGGTCGGAGTTCAAAATGATCACCTGCACTTGAGGATTCTGATCCTCGTTCGCCTTCTGTTCCTGCCCGTTTAGGACGCAACGAACAGTATCTGAAGGAAGATTCACCTCTTCCTCTCCTTCGCTATCCTGATCACTATCGCTTAGCTCGATTTCTGCAACAATTCTGTGCTGTGGTTTGGGTATGAGTTCAATATCTGGGGATATTCTTTTTATGGAAGAATTCCAATGAGCTAAACTCCTCGCTGCGCTGATGATAAGACCCTTAGCTGAATGGACCTCATCTTCATCCAGTTCGATTACATTTTGGCAAATTCTTTCCTCAGCCTCCCTCCGTATCTTCTCCCTTTTCTCCTGATCCTTTTTCTTTTCCTTTCCTTTTCCAATTCTTGTTGCTGCTGGCCAATTCTCAAGAGGAATCCCTTGATTTTTGGATCATCTATTGAGACAAAGTTCTCCTCGGGTTCCTGGGTTTCGTATCTGACAGGATCGGGGGGAATTAATCCGCAGCTAGCCTTGCAGCTAGCGTCGCAGCAGGCAGCGGAAGAACAGCAGGGCAGAAGTGTGCAGTCGTTGCAACAGTCCACGCAGGACGATGACTTGTTCAGAGCCAGCTCCATCAGATCTGCAAGGTCGCTGTAATAATTTAAAATCTTTGTTAATATCGGGTTTCTTTCTAGTTGAAAAAATTTTTATATAGAGATAATCATATATGTACCTCGATAATCATATAGATTGTTACTCAACGATCATAATGCTACCACAAATAATTCGTGTTGCATATATCTAGGCGTAATAGACCTGCCTGGGTGAATCATCATTATACCATATATCTATAAACTTCTAACCTGATGGAAAGTTTCATATTGTCGATCGGAAATGACATATATGTACATACGTATACGTATGTAAATATATGGTAAGTGCCTTTAAAAGCAAAAAAGTTAAATAAATGCGAAATTTATTTCGACAATAGATTTTACCCATTAACCTTCATAAGCTCGAAAGATAAGATTGATTACTGCCCTTCCATAAGTACTCCACTATTCAAACAATGAGCTTACGTGATTTAGGAATATCATATTTGAAGAAAATCAACATGCCTTTATTATAAATCTTATTCAAATATCATAAAAAAGAAAATGTCAGATCATATTAATTTTTCCCTGTGTACTTTTAAGAAAGATTTAGTAAGCTTACTGATCGTTCGATCTAACGATCCTTTTAAGTCGCATACGCACCATATGATCAGCAAGGAGATTTCGATTGAATGAATTTTTCTACTAAACTGCAAGCTCCCCTCTTCCTGAAGCTTCACTCCTTTTCTTTTTTTATCCGCAATTTCTGCGCTCGGCGATGGCGATTGAGCTGCGTCTGCCGTGCGAAGAAGTGAAGAAGAAACTGGATTCGCGATTCGCGATTTGCGGCTTGCCGAGCAGCAACCTCTCGGCAAAAACAACAAATCGCCGCAAAAGTCGAGCTTCGGCCGCCGTCGACGCTGGCTGCGCTGCCGCAGCGCTGTTTGGGCTGTGAATCAGCGAAGCGAGCAGAGCACCAACAACAACGACAATTTGAGCTGCGCTTAAGGCATTTTTTCTGTACACGAGCGTGAGCCTTAAACCCCCCACTACCCTACCGACCATTTTTGCGTGTTAACTTGATTTTTCTTCGGGCCACGCAAAAGCGAAATACGAAAAACAAAGAAAATGCCCCAACAACAAAGGCCAAAAACAAAAACAATTACAGTCAGAGCAACAGGCGCAGCAACAACAACAGCAAAAGCTCACGATTTTCAAGATTGCTCAAAAAACCATGGACGTAGGGAGGATTTAATTGAGGGATTGAGGAGCCCAGGACTAATATCAAATTGGAATAAAAAGAATATTATTTAAAATTAAAAAATAAGACAAATATTTAAGAAACCAATTAAGTAATAATCTTTTTATCAACCTAATCTAAATTTAAGCAAAAAAACAATATGAAGGGGACCACTGACCCTTCACAAATGAAACTACCTACGCCTATTGAGAGGAGCGAAAAGAGAGCTAGCAAGGTTTAGGGAAAGGGGGTGGCAAAGAGAGGAGTAGGCGAGTGGGAGTACGGAAGCATGATGAGAGCGGGATGGTAGGGGTGGAGGAGCAGCGAAAAGGGAGCAGCGTGACCAAAGCGTAAAAGCAACAAAAATAGCAGCGACGCCAACGTTGACGTCGACGCAAAAAAAAAACATTTATTGACGTCCGAGCGGCAGCGCTAAAGTAAAACCGTGCGCCTTTATTTTTCGTTCGTTGTTACTTTTCTTCTTATATGTAGCTTTGTTATTGGTTTCCTTTTTATATATGTATGTATGCACATCCATACATATGTACATAATTTGTAGTAATTGACTTAATTATTGACCGTATTTTTGTTATTCTCCATTTTCACGCTGATCTTCGTAAAAGTATTGAGTGAATTTCCTAAGGGGTCTTATAATTGATTTTCCATGGAGTATTGGAAAGTTTTTCCATATTTTTGTTTTTACCATTTTCTTTTTTAAGTAAAAATTAATACATTTGTTTTTTTTTTAAAATTTTTGTTTTTTTTAGGGAGGTAAAGCAATTGAAAAAATATCACAATATTTGTTTTTCTTTTCCCATTAATCCTGTTTTTATTGAATTGGTGAAAGTTTAATTTATAAAAATTATTAAAGTTGAATTCATGGAACTATAAAAATTTAAAAACAAAAATTTTTTTTAATATTGAATGTAAAGTAATTGGTTTGAAACATAAAATATCCGTAAAGAAATTATATTTTTAAGCTGAGACAAGAGAAGAATGTGTTGTTATGAGGTCACGATGCCCTTTTATCAAGAATATGTAATTAAGAAGTTTAATTGTTTTTAGTGTAAACAATATGATATTTTTCAATATTTTTTTAATTAAAAATAAATACTGTATTTGAGAGACAACAAACTGAATCATCCTACTCCCTTTGTTCTTCCATGTGCATTAGTTCTCGTAGTATTTAAAAAACATTTCAACATTGTAATCAAAGTTTCTAGCAATAAACCCTGGACTTAAGTGTCACTTCGAGGGCTAGGATAGCGTGTTTTCAGCTAATTAGTATTCCATGGGCGTGGGCAGTTGCGTTCTGTCCCCCGTGCCAGCAAGCTATCAAGCCATTAAGCCAGATCCCCAGATCCGCTTGGAATGCTTGGCTAGGCTCCCGTTTGGTGTCTCCGTCTCGGTCTCGGAATATTGGCGATCGTGACTGCAGCGCACACACTTATCTTTTTGCTATAAAACTCGTTTGGATCGGATCCCCAGACACGTCCAGTCGCTTGGAGTCAACAGCAGACGCCCACTCGACTTGGTCCGTGTGGAATCGGTTTATCGGTCTCGGTCTCGGTATCTGGCTTTCGGACCTCGATGTCGGCCTGGGGGATTGGCGGCCGTGTTCGAGGTGCGAATGTCTACCCATGCACATTATATCCTCTCTCCAAGCATGGAACCAGTATGCTTGTATGTCTGCGATTGGGGAGCAATGCTCGGCACCTCGGCGCTGCCTCAGTCCCCAGGTGTTCGAACTTTTCAGTGCCTGTGTATGCACATGAGTATGAGTATGTACGAGTATATGTATATGGGATACCTACTCTTTACGGCAGGTGCTTTATATGGCTGGGATATGCTGACACGATATCGTGCTCGGTGAAGTTAATGTACAATTTATGGTCTCTTTTATTAGGCGATCGTTGCAATACAAAACTAGTGTCAATTTAGTTCGATTTGAAGAATGAGTGAATTTTCATATTCGTTATTGGTAGAGTAAGAAGGAACAAGGTATTCTTGGAAAAGTAATTGTAATAGATAGAAGGAAGCTTCTCCAACCTTATAGGAGTACATATACTCTCTTGACGTGTCCATGTGTCCGTACTATAAAGTTGGAAGCCTCCAAAAAGCTCAAAAGTTCAGTACCTAGCGACCTTCAAAACTGTTTTCCACAACACTCAGTCATTTCAGAAGTTTCCTGTTGACTGAGTTTGCGAGGTTGAGACATATGGCTTTGTAAAAGGGGTTACCAACAGATGCTGTAGCAGAAAAATAATATAATCATTTTAAAAAATTATTAACAGAATAAGATGTGTCGTGACACTCGTATGCAGCTTTTCTTTTAAATAAGTTTTATATTCCGTAATTGGGACATTACATTTGCAAGGAAAGGTGAAAAATCAATACTTTAAGAAACACTATAAAGGTAACTAAGTAAAACTTATTCCTCATAGTCGTTAGTTAAACAAAGATATCGACATACATTCTTCAAATCGGTTGTACATCGTAAACCATAGCCATGTTTTCATAAAAATCAATATCTGTAAATGATAATAATAGATAAAAACTGTTTGATCCCAGCAAGATTCTATACTTAAAACAGATTCAAATAATCAAAGTTTCCGCTTTCCGATTTTTTTTTTATTGATTATATAAATGAGTCAGTGTTGTGGATGATCAGCTTTTTGGTGTCGGTCTGTCGAGTGCCCTTGAATGACGACATTACTGACATCATATGCTTGTGTTGAAGGTTTCACGATCTGCCAAAATCATGTTTATTTCATGGCGTCATCAGTAAACTTTAAGAAAGTTTCCTTTTTTCTTACTTTTGCATTTTGGTTTTCCTTACAATATAGTGAAGACTTTCATTCCTGATCTCAGACACCGAAACTACAGTTATAAGCTAGAGTTATGAGCTACAATTTCCTACTCTTACCAGCTGCGAAAAGCCATCTGAAATAATAATAAAGTAGAGTTAATAATTTATCAGATTTTTGCGATTCTTTGTATGAGGCCTACTTTGGGCTTTTCAAGATATAAGTTTTTTCATTTCATTTTTCCGTATATTTACTTACTTTTTTATCAACAAATAAAATCAGAAGATTAAAATCTATTGAAAAATCTTTTAATAGGCATTTCTTTTGTTTTGGATCCTTTCTAAGTATAACTCATTCCTGAAACTACGTAAATTCGCTTACCATAATTAGAATCGAATGGTAACCTATATAATATGCGTATATATATATATATATCGATCAGTTTGTTTCTAGGGATACGCGCAGATATCCGCGATTAATTGGATCACATTATAGGCAATATAATGCTGGTTTACATTTAAGCATAGAGGAAACATATTTGGCAAAATTGGGGTTTTGGTAGCTTAATTCTAGGGTGAGGTGGCGACTACTAACGATACTACAGTAACGCTAGTTAAATAAACTTTTTAACTTAACTAAAAAAAAACGAGTGTTAAATTTAAACATTGGAAATGAAGAACACTACTATAACACAAAGATGGGGCAAAATAACTCTGGCTATATATATATATATAAAGATCTTATTCTAACATATTAAAAACGAATGTTTGCTAGTTATGAAAGGGTGTGCGAGTGTGTTTTGCGATAAATGATATGCAAGATGGTTTCGAACTTCAGACAAACAACTTAACTATGTACAACAAAGCTACGATCTAGTATTTAGCAAGTCAGGGGATCGCTTCTAAACCCCTTGACTAAAGCGTGTTATTGGTTATTATTTGGGTCGATTTCTGATCTCTGTTACAAACTTCAAAGTACCTCTAGTTTATCTTTGGTCTTTTAATGGAAATTTGCTTTGAATGTAAATAGAAGTTGAAATTTAAAATGTTTCTTTAATTAATTTATAAAAAGCAAGTTAAGTACCCTTTAGGGTTAGACATTTACAGTTTATATTACTTATGGGTTAAAATGAGCAAATTAAAAAGATGTTTTTAAGAAGTTTCTGGGAAGACAAGATAAACCTGGCTTTTTCTTTATAAAATTCTGAAAGAAATTCAAAGCAAATGACTTAAAATTAACCAAAGAATAATTTTTGGCGCCTGAGATTATTTAATTTAGCATTTAGCATCCCTAAAATCGACCCCTAAGCTAAGCTAATCTGAGTGTGATTCCACACGCTCCTCTTAAAGCTTTTGCGGCACATCTTTGCTGGCGGCGCCGGTTCTTTCTCGTGGTTAACGACAAACTTCTTGGCGCCGGACAATCCCTGCTTGTTGATATAAAAGCTCTTCTGGGCCAGAGGGGAACCACCGCCATCCGAATCCACCACGAGGCGGTTAAGGAAGGTGGCAGCTGTTTTGGCACCACTGTCGCAGGAGGATGACTCTATGCTAATGGTGGAGCACCCACCGATCGAGGAAGTCTCGCTTTTGGCATCGTCCATTAGAGTGGCATCGTCCACCAGATCGTTGACCAGCACCTGAGTGCTGGACGATGCAGTGGACAGTATGGAGGAGGTGCGACTGCGGCAAGAGCTGTGTGTCTCCGACTCAGGTATCGAGATGCCCTCGTCGATACTTTGGCTCTGGCTTCCGCCCGAAACGAGGCACATGGCAGCCTCTAGATTTGGCCCACTTCCCACTCCACCGGGCGAAGCGGAGACGGGAGACGGACAGCCCGAGCTGCTACTATTGTTATTTAAGCCACCTCCACTCATCGTATTGTTGGTGCACAGTTTCGAGATGAACAACTTGGGCGTAATCCGGCCATCAAAGGTTCCGGAATCAGGACTGGGACACACCGACGAGGGCGATTGGCACACCGGCGAGGAGCCGCGACTGTAAAATAGGGAAAAAACGAGATTAGTTTAAGTTTAGTTATAGATTTTCACAGATATTTGAAGGCATTTAAAAGGCTTAGATAACAGGGAAAGGGTTGAAGGTAAAGCATTATAAGTTCTCAGACATCACTTAATATATATCCGCATAGATTATTTGGCATTTCGCATATCATGTTAGCCGTGTAAATATTCAACAAGTTGCACATTTGCTCGAACATGCACTATTGCCTGTCTAAAATAAACTTAATTGGTGCTACTCGTGCAAAAAAAGAATGTATATAATTTATTTTTAGACTGTTTCGGCGTCACCCAAATTAAAAACAATGTAACTTAGCCGAAGAGAATCTAAATTTAGTTTCTACAAAAGGAGGGAGTTCCATTTAAGGCTTCTGAAAAAACTTCTAGGAGCTAAATATGTTATACTAACTTTATAGACCTTATAGAGAGACAATAACTATATCTGATATTTGGTGACATGGTATGGTAACATTGTTAAATGACAGAAGATATCAAAAATAAAATGTCCGATAAGGGTTCACTGACAAAGATTAAGTGATTATAGGGCCTCCCCAAAAATAAGTTGGAAAGAGTATTAACAGCTTTAACCCTTTGAAAGTATGAATCGAAAATAAAGTTGGTTATCTTATTTTTTATAGAAACCGGATCCGCAACTTTTGTAAAAAAATGATACAATTACCAAAAGTGAAACTATAAAATATTTTAGTAAATGAAAAGATTTAAAAAATACAAATAATATTAATGCAAAAAGGTTAGGCATTTGCTAGAGTACCAATTTGACTTACCTTTCCGTGAAGATTTTCTTCAATGGCGGAGGAGAGTACACGCTCCAGTTACTGCCCTGCATGGGATTATCGTCCAGCTCGAATTTCCTCTTTACGGGTCCCAGTTGAGATGGCCGCATGGCAATGGGAGACATCGATCTCCTGGTGGCAAAAGTGCGCCTTGTGGGCGACGGTGAATAAGGTAATCTCATGCCCGCACGATTATTTGTGGGACTGGGGCTGGAGCAACTGGTGGTGCCCGTTGGGGGCAGGCTGACCTGTAGGGGATTCGAGAACTCGTCTGATTTACAGGACCAGTTTTCGGCCACCAATGTCAGATCCTCCCAGCTCTGGGAGATCTGTATTTCCCGATGAACCTCCCGCTCATGATTCACCTCCCGGCTGTTCAAGTCTGCGCACTCCTCTTGCCTCAGCTGGGACACTCGGGGTGTTAGGCAAAGAGTGGCTCCATTGGCGGCCGTGGTCAGTGGGCTATAGCTAGCCGAATACCTTCTGGCTCGTGGAGTGAATATATTGAAGACGGGAGCTGGGGAAACCTCCCGGGAATTGGGCTGGGATCGTATGTGTATGTTCTTGCCGAAGCAATCGATGGATGGGACATTTGGCATCTGGATGTCCAGCACCTGTTGGCTCTTCTTAGGCGTCTGTTCGTGCTCCTTGGCCGCCAGAGCAGCTGCTGCGGCTGCGCGTGTCGTCATTGGAGTTTTTCCCGACTTTCCCGACGGCGGTGTCCGGATGATGGGCACGCTTAGACAGCGTTTAAGAGTCTTAGAGCTGGCACTCGGTGGTGGTGGGTCTAGAGTGTCCATGGGCACTGCACAGGGGTTTTCCTGCTGCTTCTCCTCCTCGCCGCTGGCTTTCGTCTCCGATTCCATTTCCGTCAATCTAAAAATAGCAAATGTTTACTTCTCTTAATTCCCAGGGTTATTTTTATACCCTTGCAGAGGGTATGGCTATATTGGGTAGCAGCTGTAATGCAGTATCAAGTGTTTACTTGGTGCCTCTGCCGTTGGATATCTTTGATCTTTTGCTATCCTACTTGAGCTAGGTTACTAGGAGATCTGACATATAAGGCATATGTGCTTTCTTTTTGATTTATATTGTCTTTATGTAGTCTCTACAGGTATCTAACTATAGTTATTAGTTAGAAGCTTAGAAATATCAAACTATGAATGTTTTTAGACATTTTCATTTATAGTTAAGTCTATTACTTCTAAAAATCAGTCTTTCATATATTATATCTGACGTACAAGCTGGCAGTTTCTTTCAAGAAAGTACTGTTCCCAACTTAGAAGACGACTTTATTAACCTTTATAACCCTTTACGAACTTGGTTTAATGAGACCATATGATGATGCGATATATTTACCTATTCTTCTATTCCATTATATTCCATCCATTTTGGGAATAATAATGTTTTGCTTTTGTGATAGTCCAAATTATGTTTTCGAAATTTGTTATAAGCATTATGATGTATGGCATTAATTTTAATATTATATCTGCCTGTTAAGTTAAAAAATTGAAACTCAAAAGGCGGTGATCAAATTATAACGTCACAGCTTGGTTGATTTTAAAGATAACTAAATCGAATATATTGAGTGTCTTTTTCAAAAGGTTTTCCAGTTATTCCTCAGATAAAATCTGAAATTGCCAAACTATATCCTTTAGCTTCTATAGAAACGATCGATTATCTTGCAGAACTCCAAGATCCGGCGTGACCAGACAACATTCCCTTTTCGTTTTACAGCCCATTTCTATGATTTTTCACCGACCATGGTGGCTGAGAATTTTCCGATTTTCCACAGGACTTCGGCTTGCAGTAGCAGCGCAGGCGGCGTCTATTTTTTCTCACGAACAAACTGCGTTTGCAACTTTTGACAGCCACTTTTCACGCCCTAAATGCCTTTAGCCCTTTGAAATAACTGCTGATTTAGCTTGGCCAAATCGTGAAGAACACTTGGCACTACCTTAAGTTGGCTCAAAACACGGGCAATTGCCCTAAAATACTTACAAAATTGTGTCCTGTGATTGTAATTTTTAGCTACCCGTTTAGTTTTTTTCTAGTGTTGGCAAGCGACTAAATGCGAGTGACCGCATACACGAGCAGGCCGTATGACGTACCGGGAATGGCTTAAAAAATAAGCAAAATTAGCTTTTATCTTAGTTTGGGGAAAAAAACACAGTAAACAGTAAATGTATTATTTAAAGAAAATTCAGTTTCACTATAATATAGCTTAAAATGACTGGCTTCTTCTGCAATCAGCTGATATTTTGCCTGCGGCATTTTTCTATCTCATGCGGCACACATCATGCAGCTCTGTGTGTAAAGGCTTACCAACACTATGGGCGCGAAATTCAATTTCACTCGCTGCTGAGGCAAATGTTTTTACATTTTAAAACTACATTTTTATAAAAACAACTTAATTTCACGGGAGAAATTGCTTGATGACAAGCTATTTATTGAGTAAATCAATTTTTATATGAATAATATTTAAGGGAACACACAAAATTGTTATATTTTAAAAACAAATCTATGAAGTGTTTGTTCCTATTTTTATAATTAAGAAAAATACACATACACTTTTAGATACAATTTTAAAAACAAGAAATTTAAAACAAAACATAAGTTTCTTCATAATCAGAGCTCCGAAGTGCGTTTCTTATCATGAATTATAACCCCATCAAAATAAAAATTATTAATTTATTTTTTCTTAAACTTTCTTAGAATTGGTGTCCCTGGGGGCTTTTTCAGAAATTGACGAAACTGTTTCGTTTTTTTTGGTGATGCTAACGTCTTAAAAAAAACTAGCTTGGGATTTCTGATAAGCAATAAAATAAAAATATATGAGTCACGAAAGAAATTGATTTATAAACAAAAGAAAATTTAAATACAAAAACCTAAAATACTAATCTTAGAATACCTTCATTTAAAATGCGATCATAGACACATGTTAAATTTATTTATTATGCGGAACCTAAGGAGAAATAGCAAATTATGAGGAACACACATGTTTACAAGCTGATTTTGTAATTTGGTTTCTTCATGGTTTGTTAAACTTTAACAAAAATCACAACAAATTATAATAACACAGTCGAATCAAAGATATCAGACCAATTGATTCTGTAAACCTTTCGTAAATTAAACTTAGGTGCTAGGCGAGTGAAAACGGTATTCGAAAATGGCTTTTCATCGTTCTTTTTTTTTTTTTTTTTTTAGTTCATCTCTGTTCAACTAATAATACTTAATTATCCAGTTTGTATTCGGCGAAATTTCCGTTTTACTGATGACTGACTACGATCTAGAGTTACACTTTAAGCTAATTTGTTGCTTGACGCGCGGGTTTTTTCTTTGTATCCTCCCTTCGATTTTCTTCTCGTTCCAAAACTTCCTTCCTGTTGCGTTTTTGGATGGTTTGCAATTGAAATCGTTCGTTACTTCACTAAGTAGATGAAACGCATCGAGAGATAGATGGTTAGGTGGTTTGATGGATTACTATGAGCGAGACTTTTGCTGGGTGGCTGAATATTAAATTGCATTGGTTGGTTGGGTTGGCAAACGCAGAGCATCTGAGCTGGGTTCCTTGTGCACCTTTTAACCATCAGACAGGGCGGGCGTCACCCATCCGTATTTCTCGTGCGTCTTCACCAGCGAACGGAACGACTCCTCAGCCTGGCGACTGCAGGAGAATATGATTAGTTCTTTCTTAAGTTACATACAAAATCAATCTTCTTACCGACTAAACTCCTTTGTACTCTTTGGCTTGCGCGTTATCCTGCCCTGACCCTTGACCACGCTGGCGGCAAACTGCATGATGACCGCCTCCACCGTATAGGCACTGGCCCAGCCGCGTGGCGTTAGCAGTTCCATGCAGATGGCGCCGCCCTCCATCACGTAGCCCTTCTCGATGCGCGGTTCCACCACGCGCATGAACGGCGGAGCAAAGGGAAAGTTGTCGGGGAAACTTAGATGCAACAGGATGGCCGACACACCCATCTCGACCATATCATCGGCCAGTGGCGAATCAGGATCAATCACGTGCAGGCGTACGTGCCATTCGAAAAGGCTGTCGTTGACGAGTTCCACCTGTAATAAAGATTAGAAAGCTATTAGTAATCAGTTGAATCATTCGATTCATTTAACTATCATTAGTGTAAACCGGTAATGTAGTTATTTGTTGAACAACTTCAAGAGTTCAACTTTTAATCCAGATAATCAGAGGTATTCAATTAGAAGTTCCATTTCAAAGAAGTCAACTTATAAGCCAACACTCACCGTGAAAACAGAATCGTTCTTGCACTGCAGTCGCTCCATTTCGCGGTACTCCTTCATGAGGCGGCGCGATCGAAGCGACTGATCCGGCGCCGCCATCAGCGGGCGTCCCTTAGTCGGCGCCACCCTGCAAGTTGGAAAGTTTGAGGATTAGCTTAGCTCTCCCACACAGATTGAAGGTGGTGTATGATTTTTACGGAGTTTGCCGAAAAAAATTTGATTTTTTTTTAGCTCATTTTAAATATAAATACTCACTTGTGATCTTGTCGTCGCCGCTTGCCTGGAGAGTCCCACACAGCCTGCTCGGCTGCCATTCGAACCACGGCGTTCTTGGCTGCAGCACTGGCAGATGATCCCGATGATCCACCGCCCACTGCTCCGCCCATTGCTCCTCCGGCTGCTGAAGAGGCGGCAGATGCTCCTGCCTCATGATTGTTATTATTATTGTTGTTGTTGTTTTTATTCGGACTGCTGCCAGTGGCGCCATCGACCTTGTCATTTTTGTTATTATTTATATTATTATTATGGTTATTGTTGCTATTGTTGTTGTTGTTGTTATTATTGCTAGACTTGTGGAAGATTTTGCGGAATGCAGTGACAACTCTCTCCTTGGAACGCGACGACATCTTGGCGTGGATTGGCTTTGGTCTCTTGGTCTCTGGCAAATGGATTACGTTTTTTTGTTTGTTTTTTTTTGTTTGGTATTTCTGAGTTATTTGAGCGGTGGCTTTTGATTTACTAGTTAACGAGTAGAGTGTGTGGGCGTGGTGGTTCAGTCTTCTTCTTTAAATTGTTCCTGGTGCAATGTGTGGGCGTGTGTAATGGTGCTGCAAATGTATGAAAGAAGAATGTTCTTGGTTAGAAATGGTATACATATATAAGCCTTTTTAGTGAAGATTTTTTAAAGTTATTTTGTATAGAAAACTTTTTCCAATGCAAGATTAAAGTCCATATGTAAATGAAAACCCAACGTTTGGCTGTAAAAAACGAAAGTTAAGCGAAATTAAACGCCCAACTGTAATTATTAAACATCAAAGTTTTTAATATTTTGCCCTCTTGTACATGGCATGTGTATTAAAACAAAAGAAAATGCCTACATTAACGTTTTTCGGGGTTCGGGGGCTTAAAAATTAACATACTTGTGCATGCTAAGGATGCCATTACTTGGAATTTGATTCTCTCCGAGCAATTTTCATATTTTAGTATAACCTACTCCACCCCTCTACCCCTCTACAGCAACAACACAATTATGCGACCTTGAACTAGCGCCCGCTTTTCAAAAGCAACACCACACAACAATAACCGGAGATACTTTACCATGTCTAGCAGTCATAAGCACAAACACACATCCTCTGAGGACTTTTCCAAGTGAATAACAAGACCGCCAGCGAAATATGTTAAACACTCGACCCAGCGTAAGCAAAACGACCCATAAAGACGGCTCCTCTAAAGGGGAACGACATAAAAACTTATTTCGTCGCAGCTAGAGGATTTCTTAGAGCTTGGAGGAGGACTGGCTTAAGGGAAGGTCAGATCAAGATACACTCGGGGAAAATATGGTTATGAGCTGGGATAGAAATCTTATTTGTGACATCATCAGTTAATAAGAAAACGAGATATTTATGCCGAAATGAAATTCTTTACTTTCTTTTTCGATATGACTCTTGAGTATAAAATGCTTTTAAATGCCTTAAAGAACTCCAAGTTTCTCTCATCCTCTCGAGAGGAGCTTCCTCGACACATTGCTTTTTCTCCGAACTCTCACCAAGGAAACATCGACTGCTCCACTTTTACCACCCTCTCGAGGTGTTGACCATGGTCTCGCCAAATTGTTTGCCTTTCGCATAATTAGCTTTGAACCCAGTGCTCGTGTCCTCAAAGGGGATTTTAGGGGTCACTCCCAGCCTTCTGGACAGAAGCCAAGACCTGAACTCGGTGGCCAAGGACAACAGTTGTGGGGGTGTTACGTTTTTATTGGATGTGGGCGGTCGGCCAAGGGACAACTGTTATTATAATAATGGCTCAGATAAGAGTGAGCTAAGCTGAGAGCCAGGAGATCAGATAAAACACCTACAAAAGAACATACGCTGAAAGTTGCCAAATGTTTGAAATTAATGCATTCAGGTTGTTTAGATGCAATGTATAACTTTATGGGTATTTATTTATCGAATTTTTCTATCATTTTTATTGAGTTAAGAAACTGTAAGTATAGGAAAAGAAATTTGATTATTTTTATTTTAGTTCCCGAGAATTTTATGAGAAATACTGATTTGTATAAAAAATCAATATCCATTAACTTGTATTGAATAATATAGGTCAATGGCTATTTATTTCCTTTACTGCTTACATTAATTTGGAAAAATGACCAATTTAATCATTACAATTACCATTAACTAATAAAGTATTACCAAAAATGATGCTACAAATTATGTTTTTTGGTATTTCAAAAACAGAAAAACAATGTTTTAAACTTTGGTTTGAATAGATACTTCCTTTTTGTTAACTTTTCAAAGTAAAAGCTTTATATTTCCTCGTAATTTTCTTCTCAAAGTGCTGCCTTCTTTCGGTGCTCATTTTTTATTCATATGCCAGTCAGAGGAAAGAACTTTCTTTACCAACAAATTTATTACACTTTTGTCTAGGCTTAATAACTTGTTTCATAACTCCAGTGAGCTTACAAAGTATGAATGATTGATTGAATAATGACCCTGACTTAATTCAGTCCCTGAAACTGACCCAAAGCCTCATTAAGAGTTCATCAAGGCTCAAACTAAAGATTCCATGTTTTCCCTTTTCCTTTCCCCTTTTCCACCAAATTATAAAGCATTTCCTTCCAGCAACTCTTGTGTGCCCAACTAAAAGTATTTTTAGAGAAAACTTTTTGCACTTTTCCTTTCAGCCAGGGACACTAAGAGGAAAAATAAAAACTGACCGAGGCCGAAACAAAGGCGCCACAGGAATCTTCCAAAAAAAAAAAAAGACCAATCCAAACAAGTTTCAAATATTTTTAGGGGAAGGGGAAAAAGGAGCGTTGAAGTCACGTTGATGGCCCAAAAGAGAATGTTATCTAGTTGCCCACGGCACACATTTCTGCAGTTCTTTCGCCGTTTATTTAACCAAATAAATGTCAACAATGTTTGACATATTTTTTTATCCTTAGGAACAGACACACTTTTTTAATACCCATAAAATTAGGGTAAATCAACTAGTCTGTAGATGCAGATTAAAGAACTAAGTTTGGCATATAATAAAGATAGATTACTGTAGAATATAAATATTGAATAATATTAAAGCATAAATATGAACAATACTAAGATTAAAATTATCTAAAAGTATAAAAATAAATTATAAAATTTTTTAAATAAATAAACAATTAAATGCAACTAATGTCCTCTCAACTATTACTATCTTATAAAAAATTAAATTGAAATTCCAATTTACACTTAGTGAAACACCCTAATATTATATACACAGATTGGGCGACAAATTGACTGCCCTCGTTGAAATTACAGTAGTCACACAAAAATATATCTTATCTGGCGCCATGAAAATCGATACGGAAAAGGCAAAGGCAAAGGCAATAACCCCCTCTATAAAACCGCTTTTCCTTCTTTTTTACCCCATTTTAACCCACTCTATAACTGACCTGCCCCACGCGGATATTTAATAATAGCTTTCGGACCGACTAGCTGACTGGCTATCTCAATCAATGCTATTTGCAGATCCCAAAATAGATAGCAGGGAAATGTCGTTAAATCAAGTGGACACTCTTTCTAGTTCGACTGATGGGTTTTTAATTGAGTTACCCAAAGGAGAAGGCAGGGGTTTCCCTTCTATTTAAGTTGAAAGTTCTTAATTTTCTGTAAAATAACTTAAATTCCCTATTTAAGGTTTTAAATCTTCAAGTCATTTCAATTATAGTTTTAAATGGAAATTCTATTTTCCTTTTCCAGTTATTACAGCTCAGCTTTAGCTGAAAGAGCGTGGGAAACTGCACAGAAGCCAAAAAGTTAATCAAACAAACTATACAAGCTGATTTTTCAGAATACCAAATAAATATATAAAAAGCTAAATACATATTTGGTAGGTGTATAAAACACAACTCGGCTCGTGTTTATTGTTGTTTCATGGCATGCAAATTTTCTCGCCTGTCGCATGCAAAATTTCTGTATGCAAAACACGAAAGTAAAAGGGGAAAACAATAACACGAGCTGGGAAAATGCAAATGCAAAAATGCTGAAATTAAGAAGAGAAATGAAAACTGTGTCACTTTTAAAACATTCTGAGGATGCTTTTGGCCGTTGCTCTCCTTTCGCGCTTATTTATTGATTTTGTTTCTTTCTGACGACATTTTTCCCGGACACTTTTAAAAGAAGGCAAAAAGTAAAACAGGAAAATATTTAAATGCGGCTTAAAATATATTTTGTAAGTAAATAATATAAGGGTATATAAACTTTTCTTCTATTTATTTTACCAACATATTTACGTTACTTGAATTTTCATGACTTGTTTTTACATTCGAGAAAGGTTTGCATAAGTTTTAGTCTGCTTATAAAATATAATACAAATTAATTCAATATTTAATTAACAAATAAGAAAGAAAAACGAGAACTGCCATACCTAAATATCCACTTTAATTAACCTTTTAATATCAGTTGATGTTACACTTTAAAAATCAAATTTAACACCATTTGATCGATTTCGCTAAGTGCATAAAACTTAAGAGAGAGGTCGTTAATCAACTGTTTGGCGCAGCGGCTGAACAATGCGGAAATATTTGCAGAGGGGAAAGGAAGTGCGGGACGTAGAGGGTAGAGACGAGGCGAGAGAGAGATGCTGACTAATGGCCCCTGCAACAGTTCTTTGTTCTCAGCCATTAGTGAACACCTACTAAGGCACACACCCACAGAGAATTAATCCCCCCGTTTCTTGACCATTGAGACTGGTTGCCATGGCATCCAGCTTCCTCTCCCTCTTCTCTTCATCCTTCTCCTTCCACAACATTCAGCTTTTGCACTTGCACTTATCCCATCAACAGTGATGACAGCTAGCTAATGAAATAGCTATATGAATCTAGCTAGCTAAATAATTCTCAAGTTATTAACAGTTAATTGCATATAAAATTTGGGAAATATTATATAGTCGGCACAAGCAATATTGGAAAAATACATTTTAAAAGCCTCTACAGAATATTATGTTCAGTTCTCTTTAGCCCAAAATAATAAGACAATGTTGTAGAAAATAAATAAATAAATCCCAGAATACGTATTGACAAATACAACATACAATACAAATATTGAAAAACCAATGAAATGAATTTAAGTTATTTTTTAGTTCAATTTCGTGGTAATTGGGATAAATCAGTTTTGTTTATAGCTAAATGCCCATCACTAACAGTCATCCTTTTGCCTCCCACTTTTGCACCTCTTACTCAGCTGCTGCACCGATGGGGTTGGCATTGTTCTAGATGGAAGTCCGAGGGTCACCGCTTGTTACGGCTTTGTTAATTTATTTATAAACAATTCCTCGCTCGGACTCTCGTGCACATGCAAATTGAATTAAGCACGGATTGCTTTTCCCCTTCTCGCTCTCCCCATTCTCCCTCGGCATAGGAAGCTTTTAAATGTGCATTCAGCATTAATCAAGGCCAGGCATCACCATCAGCATCGGTCACAATCGGTCTCCTTTATTTCCTGGTTGTTAATGCTAACCAAATCGAAATGCTTTGTCACTCGACAAGGTTCGTTGACTCCTTGCAGGGCCAATAATTCCCGTTAACTGACTAACGGGCAGTGACTGATGCTGATGTTTTGACCCCGTTATGGTCTTGAAAAAATAATGTATATGAACATATATGGAATATAGAAGTAAAGCTTCATCTCCGTCAGCTGACCTTGTAAATGTCTCTGTTAGTCTGTTCATCATCATGATGTGGCGCCACAACACATGGCTCATACAAAGCAAAAAAAGGCAACAAAAATATGGAGAATTTAAGACCTTACTCGAGTTCGGATTATACGTTACATACGTTAAAGGGAGAATGATATAAACAGAGGGCTCCTAGACAACCCACTCGGTAAGGAGTGTGAAATGGCCACGAGATGAAAAGCCTGGCCAGACCTTAAGCTCTGCGTTTTCCCTACTTCGCAGTATTTTTTCCCCGGCTCGCTGTTGGCGCGTGTTTCATTCAAACGGAAGCCATTTATGAAATTGCTTTCGACAGGAGAGCAATAACAAAAACAAATACAGCAAAAACATCAGAAGCCACAACAATGGCCAGATCTCACGGGTTAAAAGTAGACTCTGACATGGCCAGGGACATGGCTCACATATACGCGCCATTTGATGACGTTAGCGGGCGAATGTCCAAGGAAGTGCACAAAAAAAAATTAAATTGAGAAATTTTAATTTGAAATTTTAAGTAATAACTTTTCTTTTAACAAATTTCACTTCTTTATAAATAGTAAAGACTAAGAAAATAACAGCTTCTCATCCTCAAGAAATCGCCGTCTTCAGGCTGCTTATTTTTTTTAATACTTTACAAATCTAACAAATAGTTAAGATTGTTCATTATGACTTATTTTATTAAGTTTTTGTTCGAATACTTAAATTATTAAAAATATTATTAGAACTAATTGTAATTAAATAAGCTGGACTTCTTCTATGTAAGCATAAGAGCTTTTTGCAATTTATCGAATTGATAAAAGAAATTTCTTTCAGTGCACCTGCGTCTATGACGATAACTGGTGTGTGAAGCGACCTGTCAATTTGGCTTTTGTCGGGTGTCAAAGTTAAGCACTTTGGATAGCGGTTATTGCACACGAGATAAGCTTTAAGTGCTTAATTTCAAGTGCGTCTACTGGGTTATTGAATTTTTGGTAATTACCCATTAGCCATTCAACAAGTAGGCTTGTTATATACTATCACTAGTTTCGATAAAAATAATCCATATGTTGGCGTTTTCTTTACTACATAAAGCAAAATACTTGAAAATGTTATTATTAGATGTCCTATATTGAATCCATTTTGAGAATTTTTGTCTTTGTAATAAAAATATATGATCTTAACAACTTTAAAAAAAATTTAAAAACGAGTGCCCTTTTAATATAAATGTTTATTATATAATAATAGTAATTCTGATATTCTTATTTGTTTTTTTTTTCTCAGAGAAAATATAATTTAAATTTAATTATTATGCAGAATAAAGCATATTAATATCTGTTCTTTAAATTTCAATCAAAAATCCTTACAAACTCATTTGAAAAACAATATAATTAAAAAATAAATCAAAAACACATTACTGTTTATAAACAGATCTTTTGGAATTTTAATCTTGAGACTGCTATGACATGATATTTCCGTTTACAGCCCAAAGAGAACACCTCCTGCTGACGTCAATCGCTGACCTGGGGGCAAAATGAAATATCAACGGACGGACTGGGACCCACGAAGTAAGTGCTACCTGCCATATTGTTTATGCTCGGTGAAATTGTTTATCACCTACCAGAAGCACTCCCACTCATGTAAAATGCATAAACTCATGCGATAGCAGGAAAGTTCATCTAATTGCCGGTGACCCTTGGCTCTTTCGATCTATTTATAGGGTTACCCTTGGGATCCTTAGCTTCTCCTTCCCACACCTTACTCCTATTTCCATGGGTATGCATAATCAATTTATGCGTGTGCCGGGTTAAATCTATAAATTAAGTCAGCCGTAAAAATAAAATGCCTACTCGGCGGGTCCATAAAAAGTTGGTGTGCCAAAGTGCACACTCCGCCACACACCCACGCTAAGCTTCGTCGATCAAGTGCGATTTAAATGCACAACATGTCGGGAGGTCGTGCCAGGATAGCATTTACAGTGGGCACTCTTTAAAGATGGCCTTTGAGTATTTATATTAATTGAAACTTATACTTCAATCGAAACATATCAATTTTTTTAAAACCAAATTTGAGATTTTTTATTTATTTTTAATATTAAAATATATTTTTTGGTACCAACAAATCAACAGGATTTTTCATATTTTATAAAATTTATAATTGCAAAATTTATATTTTTCGGAAAATTATTATTAGTTTATAAAATTATTATTAATTTATATACCCAAATTAATTTTCTGATAACTAAAAATTGTTACGAAAAAATTCGTTTGCCTGAATCTTCAGTTTCTATGCTCCACTGTAGAAGGAAGAGGATGCAAAGCGCCGTGGCGCCATTCTAACTGTGCTTAAGCAGAAAGGGGCGATAAGGAAAGGGGGAAGATAAAGAAACAGAGTATAGAGATAAAATGGAGGAGGCAAGGAATATTATCTATCGTGGAAGCTTATCCTTTCTCCCTTCCTCTCATGCCAAAATGGGGCTCTGATTTCATTCATGAATACCAAATAATGTGGAGAAGCCTTTCCGACTTCTTAGCCTCTATATAAACACACACACATACACACATATACATACATATATATATATTTATATATATGTATGTAGATGTATGTACATAACTCCATGTGTATTGGTGGGCGTGAAAATGTCAGCAGTAAATACAATTTGAGCATTTTCCGTTGTTGAGCTTCCATTCATTTGCTTAGATTTATTTCCTCATCTCTCTTGGCTCTCCTTTTTTTGGCATTTCTTTTCATCTTCTCCTTAGTTGTCAAAGGCAATAACGGCAAATTCGTAAAAGAAACAACAAGTACAAACAAGAAATTGAATAGCCAACAAAATCCCAAAAGTTTTCTTTGTATTTTTTGGGGCCCTTTTTTCTTCCTTTTTGAACCAAATTTTCAGCTGGGATTTCTCATTTTTTTATTCTCTTTTACGGCTTGTTAAAGATTTAAGGGAATGTTGTGAAAATTTAAATGTTGAAGGCTTTATAAAGCCAGTCAATCACATTTTAAAGGAAAACACAGAGACCCTTATAATGAATCAATTTTAAATGTGTTTTTTATGCATATTAAAAATTGCAGTACCATAGTTTAGTAAATATAATTTCTTTAGTATTTATTAAAAGCCATCTTTAAATTTAGAAACTTGACCATGACTGCAGCCTTGGAAATGTGGCTTGCACTGCAAAAAAAAGAATAGTCGACCAAAAGAGTACTTGAAAATGTTCAGTATCAAGTTCAATGAAAAGCTGGCATTGAAAGAGCGAGACAAAGGCAGCATCCCCCCTTTTCGCACTTGGTAAAAGATACCAATACCAGGCAATGCCAAAAGCCAAAGTGCAATGAATAGGACAAGCACAAACATGTGGACAAACAACCGTTTATTTGACAGGCTTGTTTGTTACTGCCATGCTTCAATTGACAATCGAAGGGGTGAGACAGAGAAGGGTAGCTCGTGTAACACACAAAGTTCTATTTGTAAGAGTGGGAGGTCAAGAGCTTTTAATTGGCAAATTGTTGTGAGACGCCGAAAACAAATAGGGATAAGAAGTGAAAAAGGAGAAGAGGAGATAACAAAAGACGCAGCACTCACACACATACATGACCACACTTACCAAATGCAAAATGCAATTCGCTGTTTGGGTTGTTTTCTTTCCACGATTCGTGCTTATCAGAGTTTCGTTTTATTCTCGATTTTCTTTTCCTTTAGAACTCGGCACAGACAAACCAAACAATAAAGACGGGTAAATCAATCGAAATCTTCCCGCGAATTATTTTTTTTATTGCGCGCTAAGCGAAAAGTAATAAACATTAGCAGTTTCAATTCAACTTGGATTATTTCCTGAACACTGGAGCACCAACTTTTCGCTGCACTGCACTTTTTTTCGCCCGCGAGAGCGGATTCTGATAGAGGTGAAAGCAGCTGGTGTAATACAGCGATAGCACCATCGATGCATCTGTTAAATATCGAAAGAGCTTAACACGATTCTGTTGACTTACAGCAGGGCTGCTATAGTCTGCTTAGCTAATACACAAACCTAATCAGTTAAATGAAAAATATTTGAAAAATTTATAAGTGATTATTTAAGTTTAAAACAATATTAAAATATTAAATAAAAAAATGAAATAATAAATAATATACGTCTTAGCGTCAAAAGTGGCAGGGTTTCTGTGCAAAGGGTTTATACAATATCAGAGTTTTACGTTATACTTTTATTTTTTTGGATTTACCAAATAATCATTTTTAAGTTAAAAAAATTGTTTAAAAATTACCTTTATCCATGTATTTTCCTGTTAAAAATTTGTATCTGTTTTGGTAAATACCTTCTACCTTACATAGGTAATAAAGTTATAAATTTCCCTGTACTTATTATTTTCCAAAAATGTTACTGTTTATAGGAATTTTTTAACATTGTCGTCCAAAGATCCATTACTGGGGATTTTATTCATCGTTTCGACCCCGGTATTGATGGTGATTTAAATTATAACGTTATTTTCTAATTTATAAATATTTAACTAAAAATAAAGATAAATCAATAATTAAACAGGTAAAACCCTTTGAAATCCCTTAAAAACCTTCATCTCCATTTTGATCGCATAGTTTACGTTTATTTTGTAAGAGAAATGTCTAGAACACCAATAAAGTAAATTCTGTGGCAAACGAGTGGGATTATTGTTATTAAATGTCCACTTGTCGATTGCGTTTTATTGCTTTTGATGGCCTTTCTTGACTTAAGAATATGTTTATATAAATACCAGTAATATGAGTATATTAACCATTTCGGCTATGAAAAAAGATTCTACAATCGAAATGCCGTTCCTATAACAGTTGTAATTGATTATGAGTATTTGCCTCGATTTGTTTTTTTTTTTTTTTTTTTGGTAAGTAATTCGTTACAGTTGGATAATGGTTTCACAAAGAACATAATACTGCGCATTTGCAACAGATCGGTTATCGTTAGGATACTATATAACCCATATACCATATTCGTACAATAGGAAAACAATCGAAAATAGCTGCTACGTACTAATCAACAAATGTTATTCTCCTCGCCGTCGGTTATTTGTAATTTTTAAATATTTCTTAAATATTTTCAAGCACTTTGAATACATATTTACGTGGCTTAATAATTAAATTGAATTTTCGTATTTAAATTGTGTGTACGTTTTCAACGGAATCTCAAAATTGCAAGGAAGATGTTTGTCTGTTTAGTAGTTTTTATGCGTAACTCTAGAACAATATAGCTAAAGATCGGGAATTGTGCTATATAATAAGGCAAATCAAGTAAAAATAATAAAAAATAAAAACAAAAGGAAATCATAATTTTGCTGGGGTTTCGTTTATTTTTTCGTATCAATTCTTAGCTAATAAATTCTGCTAGAAAATTATAAAATTAAAAATTCTTTTAAGAATAATATCGAGATTAATGTTTGATTTTGTAGTTTTTGTTTTGGTATTTTACAAATCGAAATTACAGGACTACTAAAATGAATTTGACTAAGTTACGAAAAAAACAATGAAGATTTATTAAAGTTTAAATCTAAACAAGGTTCGAGGCCCGAGCTGAGGGAAGTTAACTTGGCTAGAAATTTGCACAAAGTGGATATGTCTTTGCGTGGATTTTGGAAAACTTAACTGGCTTTGTCAACTCTGGCTTGGTCCCTTCCCCAGCTGAAAGCCTTTTCTTTAAATTCACATAGTCCGAAACTAAACATTAGAAACTAGTTTACCTTTTTAAGCTAATCGTTTTGATGCATCTCACATAAAAAATAATGTACATTGGTTTTATGTTCTAATTTGTATAAACTATGTCTGCGCTTTTCTCCTTTCCTACTTTCTCTCTTCCTCTTGGTTTTTGTTACCCCCGAATAACAACAAATTGAACAGCTTTATGAATTTTGGTTTTTCGTCTAACCACTTCTAGGATCTCCACGAGTTTTGGTGTTACGTTCCCTTCCTACTAATGAACTTTACCCTTGACCCCTATACGGTTTCGCACTGTACAAAGGGCAAAGGCGTAGAGGTATGTTTGTATGAGTTATAAGATGATCTCCGTCGAGCTCTGCTGCAGTGGATCGCACTGATAGGTCTCGGAATTTGGTACGGGCGAGTACTTGGTGTTTCTCTGCTTGCTGCCCGGAGCTGAAGGATTCAAAGGTGCAGCCGTGGTGGTGGTGTAGCTATAGGTGGTTCCACATCCATTCAAACTGGTAACAGTGCTGACTAGTCCAGGTCCTGGATATTTGGCCACTGTCACCACACTGGCCGTTAGAGTGGCTGTTGAGGAGTCATTACTTCCCACGATTCCTGGACACTTTTTGGCAGTGGTTTTCCTGCGCACTGGCGTCTCCTGCAGCACAGCCGACTTCCTTATGGTCTGCTGCAGCAGGGCATTCACATCGATTGCTGGCCAGGCGACCAGCGAGACACTTCGTCATAAGGAATTGTCCACGGGAGAAGAGCCGCGTTTGTGTTTGCCATGGGGATTGCGATTCCAGTGCTTGCAGGACGGTGGCTCCACTTCCTTTTCCTTTACATTCTTCGCCTCTTTCTTCTCCAGCTTATCCTTTTTATCCTCTTCTTTGATGGGAAAAGAGTTGCCTCCTCCGGCGGTGGAAGACAGCGAAAAGTATTCCGCGGACTGGCTCAGGGAGGAGGCATCTGCATCGGTGAGGTTGCCTCCGCCGTTATCACTTCTCATGGTGTGATCTCCATGATCCTGCTCCATAAAGGAAGAACGATGCGTGCTGAGGGGCGTCAACGTACTACTGTGCATATCGTCACCCTCTTGCGATGGAGTTATGGTATGGTCGGCTGCTGTACAAAAACTTTCCCTTTGGCCCGTAGTTTCGTCGTCCTCGTCATCCGCTTCCTCCTCTTCCTCATCCTCCTGAGAACAGGAGCCACAACAGCAGCTGGAATTATGACAAGAGCAGAAACTGGCTCTACGGGTACCCGAAATGCATTGGTGACACTCCGCCGAAACGGTCATTTCATGGTGGGCCTCCAGATCCTCATCCAAACTGCTGCAGGAGCATGAACTCGAACAGCTGCTGCAATAATCCTGCCCAGCCTCAGCTATAAATCGTTTTCTCTTGATCCGTACACATTCATTTCGCGCTGGAGCGGAGGCAGGATTACCCCTTTTCGTGGAGCTACTGGAACTGTTCGTTACGCCTGGCTGAGTCAGTTGAGTTTCATCCTCGGGTATGTGAGATCCCATCCGCACATCGTCATCGTCATCGTCATGGGACAGTTCATCGGTTTCAATGGTGGTATTGGAATTCAACGAACCCCTCCTGTGATGACGATGTTGCTCACGTAGAGGAGCCATTATAATGGGTTTTCACGCCTTCGCTGGCCACCTTATATGGGAAATTGGAGGTGGCCGTGCTGCTGTTGTTCTCGTCACCATCCTCGCTCATCGTGGCCGCATCGATTTCTATGGCTATGGCCTGTTGATGCATCGCCTCCTCGCTGGAGTCCAAGGAAGACTTGTTGTTGTTTGATGGAAGCATTTGTTTGTGATTCGACTGTTTGACTTGCAGATGCTGCGGATTATGATGGTGGTGACTCCTCTTCTGGTGCAGCACAGCCCGCCTCTTTGTGCTCCTGTAGTGGCAATGATGATGATGGTGATGATGCCTGTGGGGATTGCAGTGGCAGTGGTGATGGTGAGTGGTGATCACACAACAGCAACTGCCGGCGCCCTCCAATCTAGTTTGGGTGGCGTTATTTCGCTTTCTGCGACAGCAGACGCTCGCCTCCTGACCGCCAATCAGTCTCTGCTCCTTGGAAGCCGGGGAATGGACAATGACGACCTCCAATGCAGCTGCCATGCTGCTATCATCCTTACTCTTGCCACTGCCTCCTGGTCTGGGCAACATCTTGTTATTATTGTGATATTGAAACGCACGATTATCGTGGCACTGACCAAAGTCCAGCACCTTGAAGTGCTCGTCATCCGCCCGAGCCGTGAGCAGATGATCGTCACCGCTGCTGCTCACTGTTACGGGCAACGAGAGCTGATGCTCTTCGGAATGGGATGTATGTAAGTCGTGGTGATGGTTATGCTGTGGCTGTTCTTCGGGGGCAAACTGCTAATCGCCGCGGCGCAGGTCTCGCGGCTTGGAATTCTTACGGTAGAACCATACCTGTGACAGGATCGCAATGTCCAAACTGACCTGAAAAGTAGAAAGCATTTATTTAGTATTTGTTTGGAAGAAACCGAGATGGGAAGACTTACCTGCAGTGTGCCACAGATCCAGAACTGCGATGGCGCTTTCCTAACAATAAAATAACCAGTCTTAAACATATCACCAAGCGTCCACATGATCACCATGTGTATGCTCATTCCATATGTTGATTTATTCTTAAAGTTGCGCAGAAATTGTGGCGCCCCTATAAAGAAAAAGATATTTATTAAAAGATGAATAGCATTAGATATTATGGATGACTCACCCAACATGGCCTCAGTGAAGACGGCCACAAAGCCCATGGATTCCATGAACCAATGCACGGACAGCATCAGATATGTTATGGCGGCTCCAACGGCCCACACGACGAGCATGAAGTCCAGATACGATTGGAAGTCTGTCCAGCTCCAAAAGTATTTAAAGTCCAGATCTGAAAGGAGAAATCAGCATAAGTTATAGGAACTAAATTCCAGTCAAGCAATGTTGATTTAAGAAAAGATATCCCTCACTCAAACACTGCCATTGGCATACGACCTGTTATACAAATCATTATCTTCATAAACTATCTAAAAAGTATCAAGAAAACTATTAAATTTATTCCAAAATATCAACCTTTTATGCTCTACTAAAAGGGCCCTACAATGAAATCCAGCCATTAAACAAACTGTTATTTAGCCACAATAAGGAAGCCAAAGGTCATGACCCAACCATTTTCAGTTCTATAAATTGCCAACGTACTAGACCCTATATCAGAGCAATGACTGAAGATGTGGCAAGCCATTTGGAAATCAATTTTCATTATCTTAGCCTACTTTTAGGCGCTGCACAATTTACGACAAGCCTTGTACACCAGTACAAAATCGAAAGAAGCCCAAGGCGTGCCAATATAATTAGCACAAGTCGTCGGTGTGGGCGTCCATTGGTTCTGCTCGCTGGTTCATTGATCAATTTGCCGCCCTGAAAGCTGCGCCTCCTAACCCAGTTTCTTGCCTCTTTTTTTCTGCTTACTGATAAGACGTAATGAAGGAGAAGAAATAAATGCGGACAGCAAACGAGCGAGTCGCTCCATAAAGATATAGTAAGATAAAAAGAACAGAAGGTGGAGCTTTGGTAATGGAATAGCAATCTTCTAACTTCTGTTTTTCCTTCTCCTACTTTATTTCAATCTATTTTGGAAGACTGGGCTACAGGAAATTGCCGTCAATTGGCTGAAAAGTTTGCAATACCTCGTAGTGATGGAGCATATTGGTTTACTCTTCTTAATACAAGCATCTAAACTACCTCACAAAACCATTCTTTCCCCCGTTGACTCACCATTGAGATAGTGCCGGGAGCGAACGCGCTTTAATACGCTTCCTCCCGCTTCAGTGGAAATAGAGGCGCCCGTATCCGTGTCCGTCATCACTTTGGGCAAATGCAGTTCATCGCCTGGAAAGAGGGGGGGTTACAGTTGACATGTTTATCCGCCGGTTGACAGTTTTATAATATACAACTGATATGGGACTCACCTCGTAGGGCGTGCTCGCGGTTATTGGCGTTAACCCGCTTCACCTTCACGCACAGATGGATCATCAGGAACATGGTCACGTTCATCACGACACTCTGCACCAGCAATGGAAGCTCATAGCGGCTGGAGAACCTAAAAAATCAGAACAGAACAGAAAATCGGGTAAAGGTCAATCGGAAAGGTCAACAGAAAATGACATTTTAATTGAGTTGCACTATCGAGATGTAAATGTGTCCTTGGATGGATTTCAGTGAATTTAGAGGGGAGTTTATAAATAGGAGGTTGATTAGGAAACCGAAAGCATTTGAATGGTACAGTAGTAATACCTTAATAGTAGAAAGTAAATAATAATTCTTTATAGCCAAAACCCATTAAAAAGGTATGTTTATTTATCACTTCTGAGTTGACAACTGCTCCTAATTTGATGCATAATGTAGCGTTAAGTACAGCTAATTGACAGGTGCTTGGAAGGCGCCCAACAAGTGATTGATGTGCCGCCCAGCCGAACAGCATAATTCACTTCGGTACCGAATCGATTATGTGGCCCTAATGTAGATATTTTCCACATGAAGGGATGAGGAAATCCCCAGGACTGTGTCAAGCGACACTGTCATAAATCCGACAGATGCCAAGTGGGTGCAAAAAGGGTCCCCGAGAGCTGCACAAACAACAAACAATGAAGGGAACGTGTTGAGCGGCTGGCAAGGCCCCAAACAAAAGCCGAACAAACCAAAAGGCAAGTCCACAGATTTGCTGGGGATTTGTTGGGATGAAAGTCCTCAATGTCCAACAGAAACTCATTCCCAAGTGTTATTAAAAAAATGCGACAATTTGTTTGGCATTTCGCTGCTGACGATTTGTGCGTCCAACTGGGTTATACTGAAAGCCACAGCTGTCGTTCGAAATCACTTCAGATAGCATACATTTCCGCGTTGCTTTCGATTACCAGATAGTAAAATGGGGCCCAGTAGCACCCACCTCTTTTGGCATTTGGCTCTGGCATGTCAGGGAAATCGAATTACCAGTTGGGCCAAGTCAATGCCATTCCATGGCTTCAAGCGAATCACCACATAAATCGACTTTAAACGACATGCAAAACACATTTTCATTTCACTTTCGTTAGCGGAATTGTAAAAGTATTAGATTTCCAGGCAGTTGATTAAAGGTTAAGGGCATAATTTATAGGTTTTATTGCATTTAAGAGTTAACTTTAACATGAAGTAGCATCTTATGAGTTCTCTTTGATCTTGGAATCAGATTGGAATGCCTTTTCAAGAAGCGTCAAGCTTAAAAATAGTTTCCAAACTAAACTCTCAACTAGAGTTCCCAGAAAGCCACTTCAACTTCTGTTAAACTTAACAAACCTCATTTATAAACTACTTTAGCTTCGACTCATTTTGCTGGCTTTTGAGAGTCATAAGGACTAAGCATGCTTTCTGAGTTTGTATAACAACTGCAATTTTCAGCAATGTTAACATTTTCACTGCAAACATTCCAATTTGTAGCCATGAAAGGAGAAAACTAACAGTCCAAACGTTTGGCTTTACCTTTTTAAATTGGCAAAAACACCTGGCACCTCCCGCCCCCCCACTGGCCTAACATTTTGCACGCTTCAACGTGTAAAATATGTCGTAAAAAATCGATAAAATTCTATACGTGCCTTACAAACATACAGACAGTCAGTCGTGCATACATAGACCCTGCCACATTTGGCGGCGTGCCTGCGAGAGCCCGAAATGTAAACAAAAATTTTCCAACTACCTAACCACTTTTCCCGTTTTTCACCTGCATAGGTTCAGGGGGCTCACTTTCACTGGCAATTTGCTCGAATAGCCGCAGCAATTTCACTAAATAGGTGAGCCCCAAAAATGTCACTTAGGCTTGATGAAACTTTTATTGATAGAATTTGTCGGCGGGGCTGGCAAATTAAGTCACCAAAATGGAGCCAAGCAATTTGCAGGCTGTCGTACATATGTGTGAAGGAAGGGCTTTGTTCGGTGCTAACCTTTAGTGTCTGTTCTAGACATAATTAAAATTCCGTGTTGCCTTTAGAGAATTGTTTACTCAAGTGTGAGTGGGTCGGTGGTTTTTGTCTGCCTGAAGTACAGTGGTTATCATAATAATAATAATATTAATAAATTTTAGTTTAATTAAAGAATTTAAAAGCCATGCATACTGATTAAAAGCAAGAAATATTGCTTCATTGTCAACAAAATGTTAAGTTTTAAAACCAATTTAAATTTAGCCTAAAAGTATGCTTTAAAATGCTAAAACAAAGTAATTTAAAGCCTCTAGAGACATATATGACACCTCCCCTTACAGTTTCGACCCCAACTGTATGTGATTTCGTTTAAGCCAAGGCTAGCACCATTGCGCTTAACACAAATTTCATTTGGCTTAACGTTGGCATGGAAGGGGAAGCCTGTAAGTAGGCTACACTCGGCGTGGACAAAAGTCCTCATCATTGTCTCACTGCTGAAGGGCTCCTAACTAACGGAACCGAAAGCACTCAAGTCCGTACATTCCGCTTATTTCGGAACCCCATTCTGAGAGAGAGTGTTGACCATGTTCGAGGACTGCCTGCCTCGAAACTGAGACCGAGACTCGTGTAAACACACAAGTTGACGCCTGATGAGCCGAGGGACAAACGGAACCTACAACCAAAGCATAATTTTTCCCACAACCCATTCAGTTCAGTGAATGAATGAATGGATGGAATGGATTGCCCGCCACTGATGATGATGAATGCCCATAACTGGGTCGATCTAAAACCTAGATGGATTTTTGTTGTGCGCCGAGCTAAGCTGCTCGGAATGACCTTGTCGGGGATAAAGGATAAAGTGACGATGAACTAAAGAACAAACCTACAATGGACTGAATAATAAGTGTTCTACTCGAGATTGTTTTAAATTACCTAAAAATTTGGATATTTTAATATAGATATATAAAAGTATTGACATCCGAATGAGGCTCAATTTAACTTCCAAACAAAAAAATGTGCGGTAAAAACCTAAAATAAAGCAAAGAACATGAAAACTGTTATACGAGCACCAAAGATGGCATCTGAAACTGTTGTATCCCGAGAAAATCACCATGAAAATTGAACAATAAATATTTTATTATATCATTTGATTTGCTCAATGAAAATTAATGCGAGCCGAGAACACCCACATGGCGATAAGCCCATAAAACCCCAAAACCGAAACACAAACAATAGATGCCAGCTATCTATGAGTGTGTATGTGAGAGTTTAGCCGGGGAAACACTTCTATTTACGCCCCCAGAAAAGCCACAGCCAGAAGCGCTGGCGGAAATAGAGTCTGGAGCCCAGATGGCAAACAAAGTCATGGATAAAAGCCACCAGGCGAGGCCGCAATCGAAAAAGGAAAACAAATGGAAACCAAGTGGAGAAAAACAATTCGCTGATTTGCATATGAGCATGAAAATTGTAGCCAGTTCACTGGCAGATATGTAATATCGAAATATTTATTCCCCTTCAGATGGAAAGTTCAACTTTTGAGCTAACTCAGTTACTTGCCGATTTGCATATCATTTCTTTCACTGACCTACCACACTTTCTTATATCCGGCAATGCAGTAGTCATTCCGCTTATCGAATGAAAAAATTGAAAGTCATGCGCCTTAAAGGCTCAACGAAATGTGTCAATGACGTTTTGGGGGCCACATCTGCTTCTCGAAGTCAAACCAAGCGTGATAATGCTGTTTAAAACTTTTCTGTAGCGTTTTTTTAACTGAGCATGGGATTAAATGGGGTAGAGCTTGTGGATCGAGCGCAGTGCAGAGCCAACTTATGCGTGAAAAATAATCGATATGCGGTTGAAAACTTTTGTATGCAAGTTTCGGTTGGCTGGGGGATTATTGGGATAGTCTCAGGTGTTGTGAATAACTTGTGTTGATTACTGTTTGGATTTCTAAGCCTTTTTCTAGGAGACAGAATTCCATAAAATACACATTTGAATATCAAGTTTTGTTATCTGTTTACTAAATGTAAAAATTTCGATCATTAAAAGCTAAAATTGACTGTTATACAAACTGTTATACTCTTTACGACTGTTATACAAACTGTTATAATATACAAATGTTCTTGTTTTTGAAAACAAGCATTAAAACAAAAAGCTTTGGCTTATAATACAAAAATAAATACGACTGTTATACAAACTGTTATAATATAAAGTATTTGTTTAAAACTTTACGTATTACAATAATAATACTTTGTTATTACTGTTATATAAATGACTGTTAACAAATATTCTTTATTATAAAGAAATTTACAACTTTCCTCCAAACAACCTTATTTAATATGCACATAAGTCAGCAAATTCTCAATGGAGCTTAAAAGCCGATGAGCGGCCACACGAAACTGGCCAAAAGTTATAAAAGCCTCTTATTTAGCCAGCCGCCCATGCCAACAAAATCAATGAACTTAGCTTTCTGGGACCATTAAACATTAAAGCAATGTTGCTGCGATGAAATTGAATATTCCTTAAGTTTGTCAGCCCCACGCAGATAATCTCCGTTTCTGGCTGGCAGAAATCTATTCTAATTGAGAAATTTAAATCTCTGGGCGTCGACTTTGAGCAAACATTTGCGTCAGCCAACGTCGCACATTTCTCGCATGCAAAGAAGCCGCATGATTGTTCATTCAGCTGGCCAAAGCCGTAAACATTGACGGCACTGTTTAGACTTTTCGATTAGTTGTGCTTCCTCTCTGAAATTTTACGCCAACGCCAGCATGTTTTGAGTCTTGTAAGAGCTGAGATTCATTGCAAAATGCCAAGTAAGAACCTTCAGGAACGGCACCTGACTTTGGCTTGGCATTAAAATTCAATTAGGGCAACGTCTCCGGCCATAAAGCACAACAAAGGCAAAAGATTAACGTTGTGGAGTGTCTTTTAATTGTCCGTCCTTTCAGCACCTGTGACGCAAGCATTTAGGGATTGTCCCACAGCACGAAATGTGTCGTGGACGGCTTTTGGGGCAGCTCTCTTTTTAATTTCGTAAAAATCTTCAACCACAAATACATTTAATTTCAAGATAAGACCGCGTTGCTTGACCTTTGACTCCAACCGCACCCAGGTTATCAGAGCTTTGCCCCTGCAAAACTTTCGCCTG